TGGTTGATTTCCCTTGAATAAAATATATTCATTATTAACTATTCAATCAAATACGAGCTTTCTTGGAAGTGTTGTATGTATATATATTCAGAAATCCAGGATCAAGGACCTCACCCCTTTCCCCCCCCCACCAGAAACGATTGATTTCATTATGTATAAAGGTTTATTAGTTAATGGCATACTAACACATGTAGTATATTGTTTAGTTAAGTATTAAAAAATAAAAGCACATTAACAGTAAGCATAAACATTCATATGAAGTTGAAATAGGCAAATTGTTTTGTTATGAGTTGGCACAAGATAAAGGAGCATTGATCCTAACGACACAATATTTGAGTAGTTGCCAGTTAGATGTACCTAGTTCAAGAATCGCTGTATATTGTCAACAATTATGATACTTCTGTTAAGGATCTTTTGTAACTTGTACAATGATTTCTGAAAAGTAAGTTGCCATGTTGCCAAGATGCCGCCAAATGCTCTTGTTCGGCTGAGGGTGGGGAGAGTCAGCTCTCCCTCTCCAAATGCTCACACATGACCACGCGTATACAATCGTTGCCACAGAAGTCCCAATCACTGCCTTCTCACGGCATTACTGTTGTTTACGAAATTGAAATGGCAAAAAGTGAATGTCCGACGCATTAACTGGGTTGGTGGACATGGAGATTCCCCCTAGGGAAGTTTGAAAACCCTGATTCTAAACCAGTGGTGCACATGGGCTCCAGGATCCTGAGAGAACAAATAGCGTATGAATCTATTGTTCGTTAACCAGCCATCACGGTACTGCATCTCCTTACGTCGCTCTATTGCCTTGTGGATTAGACCTTAGGGTAAAAGGCTCCGAGTTTGGCCTCTTAAGAAAACCAAGTAGATTGGTCTGTGCATCCAGACAGTGTCACAGTCCACACACAAATCAAATGACTCGTGTGGCGCGTGTGTATTCGGTGCCTTCTTGTACCAATATTTATATGTTCCAGTCCAACTGACGCGATATTGTATAGACTGTGCTGAAATACTAGATGATTGTAGGTAGTTGGAAAAAATAAATTGAACCAAGTTTTTGTGTTAGATAGAATACATTAGGAACAGAATGGACGTGATATCGGATCAGATAGATTAATGATCACGTTGTAACTCAATCTATAGTATTCCACCAACATTAGGGATGAAACGAATATTATATTGATCACTATTGAGCAATCAATCGATTATAGATACAACTCAGCCCTAAAGGAGGTTAGTCAGGGCTACCATAGTTAAATAGCAACTCTTGAAACTATAAAACCAGATGGCATGAATTTGAATCTCGCAGGAAGCGTCAATTTCCTCACGATTACAGATAACCTTTACCGATGAGTTTCCATTCGCATGAAATGTGGATTAGTAAAATTTCCTGCCGACTACATCTAATCAAACAACAAAATACTTTACCATCAAACTGTCAGTTCACAATGTTTTACGAAACTTTATCATCGAGTATCTTGCGTAGACAATACATACTTATACCTTCTTGATGATGGTTGTAGTACTTCTCCACATTTTATCTCCCTACAATAGAAGTGTCTTGAAGTTCGTATTGAAGATTCTTACTTTGATGTTGCCTTACAAACAGTTATTTTGGGTTCTATATGTTCTTCAAATGTTGGAATGCTCTCCTTGCCTTGACAATCCTCGCCTGCATCGGATTCTCTTTGTTCATCGATGATGCTTCCCAGATACGTGAAAGATTCCACATCTTTCAGAGTTTCTGCATCAAGTGTGATTGTGTTGGTGTTCTCCGTGTTATATTTTAGGATCTTACTTTTTCCTTTGTGTATGTTAAGGCCTGCTGCTTCACTGTTTGTTTTCATCCGCATTTGTTGATGTGTATGAGATAGAAGGGCTAAGTCATCTACGAATTATAAATCTAATTGATTTCGAGTTCATTGTATTCTGTGCTTTCCATCAGATGTCGATGTCCTCATAATCCAGTCGTCCACCGATAGAAGCGGAAGAGGAAGATTAAGTAGTCTTTTCTGACTCCGGTCCTTACTTGGAATGCATCTGCCAGCAGTCGCCCAAAATGTTATTCAATTTAATTTCTCAGAGAAGCAGTAAATATTATCAATGGTGACCTAGATTCTATCGCGAGTTGAATTGTCAATACCTACGCAGGATGAAACAACCACTAAGTGTTATTTAATCTTCAATCGTTCACATGTTATACAGTTATATAATATACCCTTGTGGGCCGGGGTAATTTTACATCGGTTTTCAGGAGAACCAGACACCATCCATACTTTCACGTGACAACCCAAACAGTACAGCTCAATCCCATTTAACAGAAGAACCAGACACTTTATAGGATTTATTACTACAATCTGATTAGTACAGTTCAATCCTGTGGCGCAACCATACAGGTAACAAGCACCCTGGTGGACCATTCGCACCATTCATATACACATTCACATCACATGTGTGGTTATTCCGATCAATGATCGCGTGAATCAATTTGGCACAGTACGAACAAGCCAAAGTTTACCTATTCCGCTTACACGACAGTCAAACTCAATAATGTTAACAATGGCGACATGCCTGACAATGTCCCAATAACAATAGCCCTCGAGAACTCTGAAAAGCAACCACTAGTATGAATGAAATCGGTTAACCAGCAAACCAATTTTGTGCATGAACAGTCAGCAAAACTTGCCAAAGCATTGCTGAACCATCCACAATATCAATGGCGAGCCTCCAGCCTCATATGAGACCTTCAGCTCTACATAGCCATATAGCTAAAGTTTAATCCATAGGGAAGATAATCTCAAAAGTGAATTAAACTTTACAACTAATTAATCGAACACAATGAACAATCAAATCAGTCATTCAAACGGGGTGAAAAAAGGTTGACATTGATAACAGAAACCAACAAAAAAGCGTTTTTACATGTGAGCACCGAAATTGGAAGTACAATTCAAGGGGTGTGAAATCCCTGTCTAATTTATCCTCTGTCTGTTCAACTCTACAACCAATCAAAAACATAAATTCACCCCATTGCACAAGCAGGTGGATATAAGGACTCAGTAGCTAAGCGGATAATGCAGTGGTATTTGAAGCGGGCGGTGCAGGGTTCGAGTCCTGGAGTGCACAACAACACGAATGCTGACGAGTCTCAAACAGGATGAAATGCGCGTCCTGATTTTCACTGCTAGCCACTTTGCTTAAATCAAATACATAGTTTTCTAAATGTCGGACTTATCAGTCTACTTTCAATAAATACCATAATCAGAGAGGGTTGTTGCAAAAATTATTGTAATTTCAATAGTTGAATTCATGAATAAACTTATGGCCACTAGTGACTGACTTCAAGAGATATATCCTGGAGTTCTAGTGAGAAGTAGTGACCGGTGGAGTTCAACCAGGTCAGTTGTGAGATAGTAACTCACTGATGAAAATGGTGGATGTGTCGCTCGATTTCGTGGATTAGTTGAGGTTAGACATTACCACCATTGGATGCCAGCCGCCTCATCGGTCTAGAGTTTAAGCGTCCACTAGCGTGAAACCGACAAGCCCTGGATTCGAATCTCGCTAGGTGGCGTCAGGAGTTTCATACTAGGACGAAACAATCGTTCAGTGTTTCTAGGTTGTCTATCTTCCTCGACCGTTGTTGCTACCTTGACGTGGTGGTTAGGCTTATCTATCGGAATGAACCAAACTGGTTTTACTGGCTAAAACAATCGTTTTTTGAGACCATACCATGCTAGACAGGCAGAACAATTGAAAAGTGGTAAGAGTAAAAGCGGCGAACTCAAGGTCCGAGAGTGAAGTCATGCTGAAGACTGTGTAAAAGCAGTAAGGTGTTCCCTTCAGACAACCAGCATAACAGAGATGCTGCCTTCTCAGAAGGAAGGGTGGGGTTGAAAAAAATCGATCCAAAAATGCACATCTTGCCTTATCCAACAGATATCCATCTCGTGTGGTAAGGATTCAACAAGAACGGAGCTAACATGAAAATTAATGACTTAAAAGTCGTGTGTTATCCCTTAAGCACTGCGGTCACCCTCTCAGCTCGGTAAAACCACCTCTCATGCAGGTTCTTTTTCAGGTACCTCCAGAAGAACCCTTTCACGGTATCAGTCAGTCATTCGATAACAACGTGGAACTTCGTACGTACTCACATCAGTTCGAGTTGCCATACCCCATTATAACAGATATGCAGATATCCATTCAAATCCCGTAGTGGTAGAGGTAGTAAGTGTATAAGCAGTAATCAGAAACATTAGGGTTCGAAGACGTTATTCAAGGAGTATAATCCAGTGAAATAAATTTGGAAAGAGAAAAAAAGAAAGGACATGAAGAATTCGTAACACAAAGAGTGGATGCACCTGCGCCATCGCAAACGATTTTGAGCCATGTCATTCAGGGTCTCCAACCATCGATTGTTATCATCTCGCGGATTCCAACCAGGTAGTCTACAGTTGCCAACATGGCTCAGCCCACTTGTCAGTGACTTCATTTATTTGTGACACGTTTTGGTCTGGCTGCTCCTAGCTTTCTTCCAAACTACTGCCACACCATAAAACATCGCAATTCAAGGCAGTCAGTGGTTGAGCATACGTAACACATGTCTAAGCCATCTCAACTGATGAAGTTTTACTACTTCATCATTTGATTTGTCATCCTTACCTAGTACCCGTTTCCTAACAACTGCATTACTTACTCGATAGTCCCAGGATATACGAGAAATTTTTCGAAGGTATCTATGATCGAACACTAGTAACCTACAAATATTCTCTACTCTTACCGATCATGTTTCACCGACATAAAGTAGAACGAAACGAACTGCTGTACAGTAAAACCGTCCTTTGATTGATAGACAGATATCTCACCTACGCTATAAATGACTCAAGTTGGCAAAAGCTAGTCGAGTCCTCTGTATCCATGACGTGATAACTACCCTCATACGCTTAACAACATTCAAGACCATCATCTATCTTCAATGGATTCATCAATACAACTAGAATCTTTCACTTACATGAATCATAATCATTAACATCATGTGTAGAAGATAAATATGAATTAGTATATCCTGAATAAATAATAGAATTTCCAAATGTTCTATGATATGAGGATTGTTTATATACATCATTATTAAAATGATCATTGATAAATGTTTCATTATTATTATTAATATTATTATTATTATATATAGAATAATTCAGATTTGATGAATCTAATGATGAAGTTACTTTTTGTCTTATAGATTGATGATCATCATAATCATCATTATTGTTGTTCTTGTTGTTGCTATGGTTACTAGTATCATATGGGAATGGGAATGAACAGATGGGAGTTGTATGTAAATGATTTGCGTAACTAAACAGATCTTGATTAGTAGTAATAATAGTAGTATTAGTAGTAGTATTAACATTCAGATTATCATTGATTGAATCATGAGTAGAATATATATTTCGATCATTTATTGATTGATGAATTATATTTGTCACTGGCCAATTTAATCGATTATTATTATTCGTATTATTATTATTATTATCGATTTTCGATGAATATTGATATTTTTTATTAGTTGATAAACAATTAATCCAATATAGTTTCCTTAGTGATTGATCTTTTGTTCTCTTTGTTGTTATGATAATTGGATTACATTCTGTTTTATTAATAGGACTAAATTTTTCATTACAAGATGATTTGATCCATATGATGATACTACTTATTATCATAATCAATAATATAAGTGAAATAATCGATATAATCAATAAAAATTGATGATGATGATGATGATGATTAGATAACCAAAATGTAAATGTTTGATTCCAATTGATTGATTGATTATGGATTATTGATTGATTGATATGAAATGAATGAATTTTTATAAAAAATTGTGTTTCATTTGATAAAGATGGTATACCCATATCTTTTAGTAGGATCTTAATCTGATATATTCCATCTATAGGTGGATGGTGTGATGGATTAGTATCCATATGATATGAATCATATAAATTATCAATTAACCAATTCGTATATAATTTACCATTAGATTCATTTAAATAAAAATATGGACTACCATTAGTAAATTGATTTAATTGATATAATATAGTACCATTTAAATGATGATCTGGATCATAACCTTTTATTTGTAATATCAATGTATAAATTGGTGTATTTGTATAAATCATTATTGGATGATCCTGATTTGGATTTGGATCTGGATCATGATCTTGATCTAGATCTTGATCATCATAACCAATAATACTATTATAATGTGGATAAATACATATTGGTATATTATCATTTTCATCTAATATATTTATAGTTAATGTATATGTTATACTACTTATTAGATTGATATTAGTATTATCATTATATGTGATAATTTTATAAAACATTTTATTGATTTTTCACGATCTATTATCAATTGACTAATCAGTTTTGCTTTTAATTCATATTCATTTATTAATTCATTTTGATTCATTTCTTTATAATGAAAATTTATATCTGGTATAATTTTTATATAATTATCATATGGATGATTGATTGATTGGTTATTGATTAATCGATGATTGATTGATGGATGATTGATTGATGGATGATTGATTGATTGATATTGATTATTATTTAATAATAAATGGATACGTGAATTTTTAGAATCTTTATCTAAATCCATTAAATGTATAAAATCAATAAAAGTATTGATTTTTTGATTTTCTTGAAAATCAATATTGATAGGATTATGTAATATTGGTAAATGATCATTCACATCTAATAATTGTATAATTAATTGTGTTTTAGTTGTTAAATTCCCTTTATCTATTGCTGAAATCAATAAATAGAAATATTCAATTAGTTCACGATCTAATAATTGATTATGTTATACTGTAAAAATACCAGTGATTGGATGAATTTGAAATGGTTGTTCATGTTGGCTTGGATATCTTGAATGTTTTGAATGTTCTAGAAGATCTTCATCATCATGATCATGATCATGATCGTCATGATCATCACCTTGATCATGATCGTCATCAATATAATTGAATGTAATTGAATTTAATTGATATGTTAATTGTCCATATTGACCACTATCTAAATCATATGCTTTCATTTCAGTAATATATGAATCATCTGGTAAATGTTCTGGTATTGTAATATAATATTTTGATTGTTTAAATATAGGTAGATTATCATTTTGATCAGATATAGCAACTGTTATACGAAATGAATATGATTGTATGAATGGATCCATTTGTTGAATATGTTGTATAGTGAAATTAACTTGATCAAATGATTCTATATTAGCTAAATCATAACAATCAATTAATAATGAAACACGTGGATTCGTTTCATAATCCAATATACCTTTTGTAAATATAAAGAATACAGTATCAGAGATTGGATGTAAACGTAAATAATTTTGACCAGCTATAAGTTCTTGATCATGAAGATGATCCGATTCTAATTGAGTTGGTTTACAAATGATCTAAAAAGTTAAAAGAAAAACAAACATTACTTTTATTTAGAATTCAATGGAATTCAAGAGTATAGTACTGTGATTTGGATGGTTTGACTGTGGAGTTTTCATTGTTCTTCTGATTGATATTATCTGCAGGATAAACTTCAAGTAGAAGTGAAGTGCTCATTACATGTGACTTATAGCTTGTTCTATACACTTCAATGTTGATTAGTTCTTGTTGATCTTAAACCTGTTATTGTTTACTTCATTGTTTAGGTTATATCCCGCATTATGCACATATGGAGAAATTTGAACACTTCACTTCCAGTTGACGTTTGTGCTGATAATGCCATTCAGAAGAATGATGAAAGCTCTTTGAATAAACCATACACTTAAAAAAACTAAACTCCATCAAAATCATCTACATGATCTACAAATATTTTTCACCATCTCAATCTCATATATGTTAAGATTTCAGAATGATACTTGTCACTGGTTTACTGTATATGTTATAACATGTAGTTATTATACCCTAATAATACTTATTTGCTTAATTACGCCTGATACTCCTCGTGGAGGAGCGTAGGCCGCTCACCAGCATTCTCAAATCAAACCTGTCCTAATCATTCCTTTGCAGTTCTTTCTAGTTATTATTTATCCTTTTCATATCTACCTCTATTTTCCGATGTAATGTGTTCATTGACCTTCTCTTTTCACTTCTTTTTAGGATTAAAAGTTACGGCTTACCTCGTGATTCAGTTTGATGATATGCGTAATGTATGTCCTATCTATTTCCATTGTCTTTCCCTAATATTCTCTTCAGCCGGAAGCAGGTTTGTTCTCTCCTACAGCAGGCAGTTACTGAACGTATCCGGCCAACGGATGTCAAGTATCTAGAGCAGACAACTATTTATAAATACTTGTACCTTCTTAGTGGTGGTTGTCGTAGTTTTCCACGTTTCAGCTCAGTAAAGTAGAACTGCCTTAACGTTGATATTGAAGATTGTGACATTGATATTGGTTGAAAGTTGTTTAGAGTTCCGTATGTTCTTCAATTGAAGGAATGCAGCCCTTACTTTACCGATTCTCATCTTTACGTCTGCATCAGATGCTCCTTGTTCACCGATGATTCTTCTCAGGTATGTGAAGGTTTCTGCATCTTCCAGAGTTTTGTCATCAAGTGTGATTTGATTGGTGTTCTCTGTTTTGTATTTGAGGACCTTGGTTTTCCACTTACGTACGTTCAAGCCTACTGATGGTAGCCTATCAAAATGTAAACATAATGATGACGGTATTTAGAGAGTTTTGATTGATCGACCGGACTAGTGAAACATAAACCTGTACAACCAGTCTAGATTTTTCTAACGATGCTCTCTTGGTTTAAATATTACTGTCGTTATTATAATTGATGTAGATAGGATATCGGTTATTGTAACTTGTGAGTTTGTGTCCATATCAATGTATGACGTAACGATACTGTCAATTAGAGAACAGTGGTTTACCAACCGAACCAATAATACATTAACCCGTACGAGTAGTCAAGATTCTATAACGATCCTTCTTCCTGACTAGCCTCACATGCCAATTGAGTCCAGGACAGAAATCTCATCCTCTGCGATAAAAACATATTTGATTTATATACCAACAAAGCAGTTCACATTGTACCATAAAATAGAAAACAACATTTATAGAAGATCTAACCAAAAGTGGCTGTGAATGTAGGAGACTATAATGAATAGACTGGACATAAAAGTAAATCGTATGATAATAGTCTAAGGGTCAAAATGAAGCTTATAATATGAGGTACATGAATATGCATAGCTTAATTACTTAACAGTTTACACAATCTAATTATATGTATCGGATTGGTCCATAAACGGATTCCAATAGTTACCATCCACTATTCTCGCTGGGATGATAACAGTACATTGATATAAGTACAAACCTACAAGTTATAAAAACTGATATCCTATCTACATCAATAAAAATAACGGCAGTTATATTCAAACCAAGAGAGCATCGCCAAAGAATCTTGATCGTTTGTACTGGTTTACGAGTCGTGGATTTGGTCGATAAATCACTGTCCCCTAATTGCCGTTTTCATTACATTTACATATTAATAGGTTACCATCAGTTGGCCCCAACATACACAAGGGGAAAATCAAGGTCCTCAATCACAACACGGAGAACACCACTCCAATCACACTTGGTGACGAAACTCCGGAAGATGTAGAATCCTTCACATACCTGGGAAGCATCATCGATGAACAAGGAGCATCTGATGCAGACGAAAGGCGAGGATTGGGAAAGCAAGGACAGCATTCCTTCAATTAAAGAACATATAAAACTCAAAACAACTTTCAACCAATATCAAAGTCAGAATCTTCAATACGAACGTCAAAGCAGTTCTACTTTACGGAGCTGAAACTTGAAGAACTACAACAACCACCATCAAGTAGGTACAAGTATTTATCAATAGCTGTCTACGCAAGATACTCAACATCCATTGGCCGGCTACCATCAGCAACAGCCTTCTATGGGAGAGAACAAAAAAGCTTCCAGCTGAAGAGGAAATTAGGAAAAGACGATGGGAATGGATAGGACATACCTTAAATAAATCATCAAACTGAATCACGAGGCAAACTCTTACTTGAAATTCTGAAAAAAAGTGGAAAAAAAGGAAGACCGAAGAACACATTACATCGAGAAACAGAATCAGATATGAAAAGGATGAATAACAACTGGAACAAACTCTGAAGTATTCCCCAGGACAGCATTGGATGGAAAATGCTACTGAACGGTCTATACATCTTAACGAGAAATAATAGACGTAAGTAAGTAAATAAGTATTAATAGGCTAAAATAGCTACATGTTATAACATATACACTGAACCAGAGACAAGAATCATTCTAAAAACTTAACATATATGACATTAAGATGGTAAAAAATGATTGTAGCTTAAGTGAATGATTTTGATGGAGTTTTGTTCTTTGAGCTAGATGGTTTAATCATAGAACCTTCATCGTTATTCTAAATGACATACTCGGCACAAACTTCACGTAGTAGTGAAGTGTTCGAATTTCTCCATATGTGCATAATTCGAGATATAATCAAAACAATAACAGGTTTAAGATCAACAAGAACTAATCAACATTGAAGTGTATAGAACAAGCTATAAGTCACATGCAATGAGCACTTCACTTCTACTTGAAGTTTATCCTGCAGATAATATCAATCAGAAGAACGATGAAAACTCCACGATCAAACCATCCAACTCACAGTACTATACTCTTGAATTCAGTTAAATCCTCTCTCTAAAAAGTAATGGTTTCTACTTTTTAGACCAACTCAATTAGAATCGGATCATCTTCATGATCAAGAACTAATAGCTGGTCTAAATTATTTACGTTTACATTCAATCTCTGATACAGTATTTTTTATATTTACAAAAGGTATATTGGATTATGAAACGAATCCACTTGCTTCATTTTTAATTGATTGTTATGATTTAGCTAATTGAATATTTTTATTTATTGATTTCAGCAATAGATAAAGGGAATTTAACAACTAAAACACAATTAATTATACAATTATTAGATGTGAATGATCATTTACCAATATTACATAATCCTAACAATATTGATTTTCAAGAAAATAAAAAAATCAATACTTTTATTGATTTTATACATTTAATTGATTTAGATAAAGATTCTAAAAATTCACGTATTCATTTATTATTAAATAATAATCAATATCAATCAATCAATTATCCACCAATCAATCATCGATTAATCAATAACCAATCAATCAATCATCCATATGATAATTATATAAAAATTATACCAGATATAAATTTTCATTATAAAGAAATGAATCAAAATGAATTAATAAATGAATATGAATTAAAAGCAAAACTGATTAGTCAATTGATAATAGATCGTGAAAAAATCAATAAAATTTTTTATAAAATTATCACATATAATGATAATACTAATATCAATCTAATAAGTAGTATAACATATACATTAACTATAAATATATTAGATGAAAATGATAATATACCAATATGTATTTATCCACATTATAATAGTATTATTGGTTATGATAATCAAGATCTAGATCAAGATCATGATCCAGATCCAAATCCAAATCAGGATCATTCAATAATGATCTATACAAATACACGAATTTATACATTTATATTACAAATGAAAGGTTATGATCCAGATCATCATTTAAATGGTACTATATTATATCAATTAAATCAATTTACTAATGGTAGTCCATATTTTTATTTAAATGAATCTAATGGTAAATTATATACGAATTGGTTAACTGATAATTTATATGATTCATATCATATGGATACTAATCAATCACACCATCCACCTATAGATGGGATATATCATATTGAGATCCTACTCAAAGATATGGGTATACCATCTTTATCAAATGAAACACAATTTTTTATAAAAATTCATTCATTTCCTATCAATCAATCAATAATCAATCAATCGATTTGAATCAAACATTTACATTTTGGTTATCTAATCATCATCATCATCATCAATTTTTATTGATTATATCGATTATTTCACTTATATTATTGATTATGATAATAAGTAGTATCATCATATGGATCAAATCATCTTGTAATGAAAAATTTAGTCCTATTAATAAAACAGAATGTAATCCAATTATCATAACAACAAAGAGAACAAAAGATCAATCACTAAGGAAACTATATTGGATTAATTGTTTATCAACTAATAAAAAATATCAATATTCATCGAAAATCGATAATAATAATAATAATACGAATAATAATAATCGATTAAATTGGCCAGTGACAAATATAATTCATCAATCAATAAATGATCGAAATATATATTCTACTCATGATTCAATCAATGATAATCTGAATGTTAATACTACTACTAATACTACTATTATTACTACTAATCAAGATCTGTTTAGTTACGCAAATCATTTACATACAACTCCCATCTGTTCATTCCCATTCCCATATGATAATAGTAACCATAGCGACAAGAACAACAATAATGATGATTATGACGATCATTAATCTATAAGACAAAAAGTAACTTTATCATTAGATTCATCAAATCTTATACATTCTATATCTAATAATAATAATAATGAAACATTTATCAATGATCATTTTAATAATGATGTTTATAAACAATCGTTATATCATAGAACATTTGGAAATTCTATTATTTATTCAGGATATACTGATTCATATTTATCTTCTATACATGATGTTAATGATTATGATTCATGTAAGTGAAAGATTCCAGTTGTATTGATGAATCCATTGAAGATAGATAATGGTCTTGAGTGTTGTTAAAGGTATGAGGGTAGTTATCACGTCTTGGATACAGAAGGCTCGACTGGCTTTTGCTAACTTGAGTCATTTATAGCGTAGGTGAGATATCTGTCTATCAATCAAAGGACGGTTTTACTGTACAGCAGTTCGTTTCGTTCTACTTTATGTCGGTGAAACATGATCGGTAAGAGTAGAGAATATTTGTAGGTTACTAGTGTTCGATCATAGATACCTTCGAAAAATTTCTCGTATATCCTGGGACTATCGAGTAAGTAATGCAGTTGTTAGGAAACGGGTACTAGGTAAGGATGACAAATCAAATGATGAAGTAGTAAAACTTCATCAGTTGAGATGGCTTAGACATGTGTTACGTATGCTCAACCACTGACTGCCTTGAATTGCGATGTTTTATGGTGTGGCAGTAGTTTGGAAGAAAGCTAGGAGCAGCCAGACCAAAACGTGTCACAAATAAATGAAGTCACTGACAAGTGGGCTGAGCCATGTTGGCAACTGTAGACTACCTGGTTGGAATCCGCGAGATGATAACAATCGATGGTTGGAGACCCTGAATGACATGGCTCAAAATCGTTTGCGATGGCGCAGGTGCATCCACTCTTTGTGTTACGAATTCTTCATGTCCTTTCTTTTTTTCTCTTTCCAAATTTATTTCACTGGATTATACTCCTTGAATAACGTCTTCGAACCCTAATGTTTCTGATTACTGCTTATACACTTACTACCTCTACCACTACGGGATTTGAATGGATATCTGCATATCTGTTATAATGGGGTATGGCAACTCGAACTGATGTGAGTACGTACGAAGTTCCACGTTGTTATCGAATGACTGACTGATACCGTGAAAGGGTTCTTCTGGAGGTACCTGAAAAAGAACCTGCATGAGAGGTGGTTTTACCGAGCTGAGAGGGTGACCGCAGTGCTTAAGGGATAACACACGACTTTTAAGTCATTAATTTTCATGTTAGCTCCGTTCTTGTTGAATCCTTACCACACGAGATGGATATCTGTTGGATAAGGCAAGATGTGCATTTTTGGATCGATTTTTTTCAACCCCACCCTTCCTTCTGAGAAGGCAGCATCTCTGTTATGCTGGTTGTCTGAAGGGAACACCTTACTGCTGTTACAAAGTCTTCAGCATGAATTCACTCTCGGACCTTGAGTTCGCCGCTTTTACTCTTACCACTTTTCAATTGTTCTGCCTGTCTAGCATGGTATGGTCTCACAAAACGATTGTTTTAGCCAGTAAAACCAGTTCGGTTCATTCCGATAGATAAGCCTAACCACCACGTCAAGGTAGCAACAACGGTCGAGGAAGATAGACAACCTAGAAACACTGAACGATTGTTTCGTCCTAGTATGAAACTCCTGATGCCACCTAGCGAGATTCAAATCCAAGGCTTGTCGGTCTCACGCTAGTGGACCATATCAGAATAATTGTTTATCAACTAATAAGAAATATCAATATTCATCGAAAATCGATAATAATAATAATAATACGAATAATAATAATCGATTAAATTGGCCAGTGACAAATATAATTCATCAATCAATAAATGATCGAAATATATATTCTACTCATGATTCAATCAATGATAATCTGAATGTTAATACTACTACTAATACTACTATTATTACTACTAATCAAGATCTGTTTAGTTACGCAAATCATTTACATACAACTCCCATCTGTTCATTCCCATTCCCATATGATAATAGTAACCATAGCGACAAGAACAACAATAATGATGATTATGACGATCATTAATCTATAAGACAAAAAGTAACTTTATCATTAGATTCATCAAATCTTATACATTCTATATCTAATAATAATAATAATGAAACATTTATCAATGATCATTTTAATAATGATGTTTATAAACAATCGTTATATCATAGAACATTTGGAAATTCTATTATTTATTCAGGATATACTGATTCATATTTATCTTGTATCCATGATGTTAATGATTATGATTCATGTAAGTGAAAGATTCCAGTTGTATTGATGAATACATTGAAGATAGATAATGGTCTTGAGTGTTGCTGAAGGTATGAGGGTAGTTATCACATCTTGGATACAGAAGACTCGATTAGATTTTGCTAACTTGAGTCATTTATGGTGTAGGCGAGATATCAAACTATCAACCAAAGGACGATTTTACTGTACAGCAGTTCGTTTCGTCCTGCTTTTCGACAGTGAAACATAACCGGTAAGAAGAGAGAATATTTGTAGGTTCATAGTATTCGATCGTAGATGTCTTCGAAACATTTCTCGTATATCCAGGGACCACGGATAAGTAACGCAGTTGTTAGGAAACGATTACTAGGTAGGGATGGCAGTCCAACTGATGAAATAATGAAGCTTCATCAGTTGAGATGGCTTAGACATGTGTTACGTATGCTCAGCCACGAACTCCCTCGACTTTCAATGTTCAATGGTGTAGGAATAGGTTGAAAGAAAGCTAAGGGCGGCCAGACCAAAACGTGACACAAATAAATGAAGTCACTGACAAGTGGACTGAGCCATTTTGGCAACTTTAGGCTACCTGATTAGGATCCGCGAGACCATAACAATCGATGGTTAAAGATCTTGAATGAAACACGACTAAACATCGTTTGCGATGGCGCAAGTGCATCCACTCTTTGTGTTCTTCTAAATGCTAATCTCCTGAATTCTTCATGTCCCTTGTTTTTTCTCTTTGCAAATTTATTTCACTTGATTATATTCCTTGAACAACATCTCCAAGCCCTTATGTTTCGAATTACTGCTTATACTCTTACTGCCTCTAACATCATGCGATTTGAATAGACAACTGCATCTCTGTGCTAATGTGGTATGACAACTCGAACTGATGTACGTACCTACGAAGTTCTACGTTGTTACTACTGACGGACTGACAATGTGGAAAAATTCTTCTGGAGGTACCTGAAAAATAACCTGCATGAGAGGTGGTTTTACTGAGATGAGAGAGTGACCGCAGTGCTTACGGGATAACATACAACCTTTTTGTCATTAATTTTTGTGTTAGCTCCGTTCTTGTTGAATCCAAACCACAAGAGATAGATATCTGATGGATAAGGCAAGGTGTGAATTTTTAGGATCGATCTTTTCTAACCCCACCCTTCCTTCTGTGAAGGCAGAATCTCTGTTATGCTGGTTGTCTGAAGGGAACACCTTACTGCTGTTACAAAGTCTTCAGTATGTTTTCACTCTCGGATCTTGAGTTTGCCGCATTTATTCTTACCGCTCTTCATTTGGCCTACCTGTCTAGCATGGTATGGTCTCAAAAAACGATTGTTTTAGCCAGTAAAACCCGATTGGTTCATTCCGATAGATAAGCCTAACCACCACGTCAAGGTAGCAACAACGGTCGAGGGAGATAGACAACCTGGAAACACTGAACGATTGTTTCGTCCTAGTATGGAACTCCTGACGCCACCTAGCGAGATTCGAATCCGAGAATTGTCGGTCTCACGCTAGTGGACGCTTAACCTCTAGACCAGTGAGACGGCTGACATCCAATGGTGGTAATGTCTAACTTCAACCAATACACAATATTACGCCACCGTCCATCATTGTCCTCAGAACAGACGCGATTGAACTCCTCACAGGGTTACTAACTCACAAAAGACCCTGTTGCACTCCAATAGTTATGGCTTCTCATTAAAAGCCGAAGAAATACCTTAAGAAGTCGCACACTAGGATGAAATGGTCTTCTAGTGCCTTCAGGTTTTCCATGGTACTCTAGCTTCAATTCATTCATGAATTCAACTATTGAAATTAAAATAATATTTACAACACACCTCTCTGATTATGGTATTTATTGAAAGTAGAATGGTAAGTCCGACATTTACAAAATTATGTTTTGGATTTAAGCAAAGTGGCAAACAGTGAAATCCAGGACGCGCGTTTCGTCCCATTTGGGACTCGTCAGCTGGATGTGCCTGCACCCGTGTTGATGTGCACTCCAGGAGTCGAACCCAGCACCATCGGATAATAATAATTGATTCACGCGATGATTGATTGGAATAACTATACACGTGATGTGAATATATATTTGAATGGTGCTAAAGGTCCACCAGAGTGCTTGATACTTGTGCGGTTGCGCCACAGGATTGAGCTGTACTATTTAGACTGTAGCGTTGAAGTTTATACGGTGTCTGGTTCTCCTATAAAGCGGGATTGAGCTGCGCAGACCAAACCACGTGGTTTTTTGAAGAGACCACATTCGGAGCCTTTCATCTTAAGGTCCAATGAACGAGGTAATGAAGCAACGTAAGGAGATGCATTACCATGGTGGCCGGTTGACCAACAATAGATTCATACGCTATTTGTTCTTCAAGGATCCTGGAGTCCATGTGCACTAGTGGTTTAAAATCAGGGTTTTCCAAATCCCCTGGATAGGTTATCTACATCCATCAACCTAGATAAAGCGTTGAATATCCACTTTCCGTCCTCTCAATTTCGTAAACAACAGTAATGCCTCAAGAAGTTAGTGATTGGGACTTCCATGGCAACGACTGTATACGCGTGGTCGTATGTGAGCATTTGGAGAGGGAGAGCTGACTTCCCCACCCTCTGCCGTACCAGGGCATTTGGCAGCAACTTGGCAACATGGCAACTTATTCGTCAGAAATCAATCACTACTTAGTGATCAAAAACATACGATTCAGTGATAACCAATTTCATAAAATCATGAAATTAAAATACG